TTTAAAGTGTCGATAGATATTGACCGAATAAATATATAAAGGGCGGTCGCCTGCCCTTTACCATGTCTCAGAGTGACATTACAGAGTTTTGGGATTTAAGTGGGCGAGTATAAATTTTAAAATAATAGCATAACTTACAAAATTCCAAATCTCTAGATCGCATATTTTCCGAAACCTGGACGTTGCTAAATCGAATCAGATAGTGATCTCAACTAAGAATCTCAGAATCGTGTCTTTCTACCTGTTCTAATACTCGTTTTTAAACGTTTTTTGTTTTTGAAAATGTTGAACTTTAAGGTAAATTACAGAATTAAATAGACTTATTCACTTACTGTGCAGATCGGACCAATCTGGCAACTCTTTAAAGACTTTTAAGCTTAATATTCTTTTGAAACAAGAGCTTTTGACCAGAGCCGCTTAAAAAGCTCTTATAATGGCACTCCTAAAAAGTAACCAGGCGCAAAAGTTTTTACTAGACGAATAAGTCCATCAGAAGCTAAATTGGCAGACTCAACGTGTTTACTAATTAATCCCAATTAGCATTAAATGAAATTTTTTCAAATAAAGCTGATCAACAAAAGTTAGCAACAATGTTGCTTGCGTGCTGCAATGTTTCTGCAACAAAATCGAAAAAACTTCACTTAGTAACACTTAATAAGTCTCAATTAGTAGAAACGAAATAAAGTTGCGGCATTGTGATCGACATCGTAAACAGGAAAAAAGCAAGTTACTGCAGTTGAATAGCATTTATTTAATTGAGCTTCAATGCCATACAATTCATTTCTAAGCTATTAAAATAAAACTCTGAGTTTTAACTAGAACTATGAATAAAATACGAAATAAAAACAACCTTTCGAGATCTTTGAACTGTACATAAAATATCAATTTAATCAACTTGTTATTAAATGTGTCTTAAAGGGCTGTTGCATTATATGACTTACAAATTGACACATTACTAAATTCCAATGGTTTTACTGAAGTGTTGGTTGTACAAATTAATTAACAACTTATTAGATAGGTTTTTTTTTACTAAAACGGAATTTTTTCTGCCAAGTTTTATACATTATCAGTCTAAAATAATTTAATTTAATAGAAATCCGTTACAAACTTAGCGAAGATTTAGGAAATAAAACGAAAACACATTATAACTTAGCTGTTATACCCTTGCAGAGGGTATTATAATTTCAGTCAGAAGTTTACAACGCAGCGAAGGAGACGTTTCCGACCCTATAAAGTATATATATTCTTGATCAGCATCACGAGGGGAGTCGATCTAGCCATGTCCGTCTGTCCGTCCGTTTCTACGCAAACTAGTCTCGCTATCTGCATGAAACTTTCCAAAAAGGTGTCTTTCTATCCGGATCGGACGACTATAGCATATAGCTCCCATAGAATAATATATGAAAACAAATTATAACTTTGCTGTTTTTAAATTTTTTTTTTAGTTCTTCGAAATATAGTAATGTTTAAATATCTCAGAATTACGGTTTTAGTTTCATCAAGACCGGACGACTATAACTTAAAACTTCCATGGGAACAATAAAAATATTAACATTTTTTTTTAAAACTTTTTTATTTTGTTTTTTTTTTTTTTTTTTGATTTATTAATAATTTGAAAGTCAAGAAACACGCTTTTAATTTAGCTAATCGGAAAACAATATCATATAGCTGCCATAGGAACTATCGAATAATTAAACTGCAAATCATAATAGCATCAATGTTTTTAAACATAAACCACAGAAAATCATAATTTTAATGTATTAAAGAATATTTAATAGCTGCAAGGGATTATGAACTTCGGCTTGCCGAAGTTTGCTTCCTTTCTTGTTTGTTGTTAGTTCATCTATAGAAAAACCATTACTTGTTTGCTATTTTAGAACTACGGTTTAAATTTAATTAAAATCGGACTACTATATATTATATAATATTAATGGGAACAATCGGATTAGAAACCCGTTACTCAGCTAACAAATTTCAATCTGTCGACCTGCACACTAATAGTTAAAAGTTCAGAGTGCCGTGAAAAAGATGTTTAGTGTTTCGCGACTTAAAAAACACTGAAATCTGCATGCCAAGTCCTAAACCTCTAGCTTTTACAGTTTCCTAGATCTCGACGTTCATACAGACGGACAGACAGACGGTCATGGCTAGATTGACTCGGCTGTTGATCATAATCAAGAATGTATAATTTAATAATTTAAATGTTTTAAAGAAAATTTAGTTTTTGCAATATCTGCAAGGGTATAGAAACTTCGGCTTGTCGAAGTCTGCTTTCATTCTAGTTTGTTACAATTGTTTTGTCAAAGCCTAATATTGTACAAGATTTTGGAAACAAACTGGAAACAAATTTAAAAGATTAATTAACCTTTAAGTTATCAACATTTTTTAAAAGTTTTATTTGAATTTAGGTATATGTTCGTCTTACAAATTAGTTAATCGATGACTTCATTTTAATCTTTTCCTTTAAAGAGCACCTTGTTCGCGTATAAAAAGTTCCATTTGGAAAGACACATGTATAATTCTTTTGAGGCCGAAAAGAAAATGATAAATAAATTCACCTGCTAAAACACTTTATAGGCAAAAGACTATGCCAATTTTGAGACCGTAGCATTGAACGATGTTTCATGCGTCAAACTGATCCCAAACAGTATAAAAGACTTGATACAAACTCTTTTCTGTTTTTATGAACCTTTTAATTTAATAAATAGTGAATTCTTTTGTATTTTAAATTTAGCATTAGGTAACCTTCTTAACCCTAAAAAAACAAAAAGTAACTTAAAGAACTCATGACATTTCATGGGTCGGGGGTTTAGCCGACCCTTGGCTCTCCAACATTTAATAAACAAGTCAAAAGTCCGATTGGTCACCACATGTATACATGGGGCGGTTTTACTTTATATTAGAACAAGTGGATTTTGCCTCAATTTGGGAAAATAAGTGAACTCACTATTAAATAGCCGTAGTCAGCTAACCAATTTCAAAATATTTGTATGTGTGGTCCATGAAAATAATCGATTATTGGGTGGCGCCATCTGCCAAAAAATGACTTAAAATAATGATCTGATTTGAAAACCTTCAAATCAGCTTCAAACCTGGCGTCTACAATGTCTCGTAGTGACATGACAGATTTTCGCGGCAAGCCAATGTATATAAACAGCTATAGCTACAATCGTTAAATAATTTAGAATTACGGTTTAAATTGCATCAACATCGGACGACTACAACCTAAAGCTCCCATTGGAACAATGAATGTAACTTTTCTAATTTGTAATTTATTTATAATTTTTTTTTTGACTTTTTGACTTATTAATAATTTGACAGTTTAGAATTATACTTTTAATTTTATTAAAATCGGAAAACGATATTAGATTGAGCTGCAAATCATCATAGCTTATATGTTCAATACGCAAGTGAGTCATAATTTTAATGTTTTCAGAATATTTAATTTTTCCAATAGCGGCAAGGGTATATAAACATCGGTTTGTATGACCAGTTTGATCTACACGAGTGGTAGCAGCTACTCAAAGTCCTGGTTTAGACCTGCCTCAACAAGGAGGACTGTTTCGCAGAACCCGTTAAAGAAAAGGAGGAAGGAGGTCGGGCAGAAGCCGGAACCTCAGAGTAAAATTCCAACACGTTCAGGCCCCTGGCAGTTGGATGGCCGCAAGCTGTGCTTGCAGCCTTCAAAAACACGCCTCAAAAAACAAGACCCGACATGAGTCAACTTTTTAGAGACACACCATATATTTATAGATCACTTTACTTAATAATATTTTATTTAAATTATCTCGGCTGTGTGGGCAATAACCGCTATCAAGTTCGACAAAACGGATATGTTTTCGCATAGCACTCAAGTCTCAAGACTCTTTTTGAGAGATCTAAACAAACAATTAGCTATTAACATTTTAAGCATTTCGAGCAGCAATTATATTACAAACTTACTTAAGCTTAATGTGCAAATATTTAGTTATTTTTTGTTTAGGTTTTCCTTGTCTTAAATAAAGCATGAATGGAGATCTAAGGCGCTACCATTTGAGACAGAGACGTGGTCTGAGACTGAAACAAATTGAACTTTCGACGTCGTAAAATAAACACACTTAAAATATGTAGTATTCTATATAGCAAGCCTATTATATACATATATACCACGATTGAAATATATACTGTGAACCGCAGTTAAAATATATACTTTTTTTTACGCTTAATATATATACTAGAGTACCTTAATTTCCAACACAAGAGTAAGTCTTTTGTTCTCAAGACCTAATTTAATATTAACTTAATGCCGCCGTAAAGTAAAAACTTTAAAAAGAATATAGATTTTTGACTGAAAATTAATTATATAAGGGAAGACCGCATAAAAGAGTAATTTAAATTGGATGTAACCCGGGGGTTACGCATCTACTTGTGCTTAGCTGGACCCAAAACCCCCGAAAATTTTAACTCAGTGCTCTAGAAAGGGTACATTTCGGGTTGGCTAAAGATCCCAAGCTCAAAGTCGACGCCCCTGCTGGGGCCAGCCTCTCTACAGCTTCAATAAAATATATTTATTGTTTCATTTTTCTGTATTCTGTATACACACACGAATGTGCGTTTCCTCGGCATGTTTTGGTAGCATCCATGTTTTGCCACAAGGTAATTATTTCGTACACTAAACTGTATTTTGTTTAGGGCAATTCATTGTTGTTTTTGCCAACATCTTTGAACCGCAGGGCACTTTGTTTCGTTGTTCGTATTTTTTTCGAGCCGAAGCCAGAGGCTGGTACTGCTATCAGGCCTGTCTGTCATTTTTATGATTGTTAATGTCTCGGTCAACGCTTTTAAGTCAAGTTCTGAGCTCTGTCCCTATCCCGTCCCCGTCCCCTCCCTCATCCTCTGCGATCGTGTGTGGTTTGTTGTTGGCTTTAATGGAAAGAAATGAGTTTGAGAGCGATGTGTGAGCAGAGCTGCGAGGGGATCCGGCCTGTGAGTTCGTATACATAGTTTGTGGCGGGCATTAAAAACGATCGCCGCATTTGCCTGTCGGATGAGAACGCGTTCAGAAGTTCGTCGGGTGTGAGCTTGCGAAAGTCATTCCGAACGGATAAGAACTTCGCCTGAAGTAATGTACTGAGCCCTGAGTTTTGGAGACTAACGACCAGGCAGAAGGCAAAATGGGAAGAATCAAATATAGGCTGTGCCTGTGCTCATTGCTATTGTTGCTTGCGACATTTGTATCAGCAAATAGGCGCATCCGGCGACAAAATCGATCCGATCAACTACTGGCCGACATTGGAGTGCGAGCCCAGTCCTACAATCCCCGAGTGTTGGAGAATGGCATCCAGCAGTACACGCACATCGACCAGGACCTGCGACACCTGTTCCTCAACACCAGGCAGACCACGTTGAGGTGGGCTCTCAACAACATCGAGGCGCTGAGCAGCCGCGGCAGGCGCGAGGGAAAGCTCCAGCCGCCGGTGTCAAAGAAAGTTCCCTTCATTTGTCCCACGAACAACACCCGCTCGCCGTCGCCTCCCACTTCCGTGGAGCGGCTGAGGCCGGGGGACATTGACATTATAGCCGCCTTCGGCGACTCACTGTCCGCGGGCAATGGGATACTGTCCAACAACGCCATCGACATGATCAACGAGTTCCGCGGACTGACCTTCTCGGGCGGCGGCCTGGCCAACTGGCGCCGGTTCGTGACCCTGCCCAACATCCTGAAGGTCTTCAATCCCAAGCTGTACGGCTTCGCCGTGAGCAACAGTCTGGTGATCAACCATCGCTCCTCGCGCCTCAACATTGCCGAGCCGATGATCATGTCGCGGGACCTGCCCTTCCAGGCCCGCGTCCTCATCGATCTGCTGCGGCGCGACCCCAACGTGGACATGAAGCGCCACTGGAAGCTGCTGACCGTGTACGTGGGCAACAACGACATCTGCTCGGACCTCTGCCACTGGGACAGTCCGCAGACCTTCCTCGACCAGCATGCCCGTGACCTGCGGCAGGCCTTCCGCCTGCTGCGCGACCATGTGCCGCGCCTGCTGATCAACCTGATCGTGGTGCCGAACATACCGCATGTGCTGAGCACCATGACCCAGGTGCCGCTGCAGTGCTTCGTGGTGCACCGCGTGGGCTGCCACTGCCTGATCGACGACCGCCTGAACCGCACTCAGCTGGCGGAACGCGTCCGCACCTTGGACCAGTGGCAGCGGCTGGACATGGAGGTCGCCCGGCTGCCCGAGTTCCACCGCGAGGACTTTGCCATTGTGGCCCATCCCATGCTGGCCAACGTTTCGGCCCCCCAGCTGCCCGATGGCAGCACCGACTGGCGGTTCTTCTCCCACGACTGCTTCCACTTCAGCCAGCGCGGCCATGCGATCATCTCGAACCTGCTGTGGAACAGCATGCTCCTGCCCGACGACCAGAAGCCGCGGCCTTCGAAGGTCCCCGAACTGTTCGAGCGGGTCGTCTGCCCCAGTTCGGAGCAGCCGTACTTTGTGGTCAGGCCGAGTTGAGGGTCGTCTGGGAGCGGGACCGGGTTGAGTTACTTGGTTGAGCTGTCAAGTAATGGTTTTTAAGAGGAGGGTACACAGAAGAAAATTACTTTTTGTTCTGCGGATGAGATACGCACCGAAAGATCTCGCGAACTTGTACAACTTATTTCCGTGAAACTTTTGGACTTACATATAAGCACTAAATGACAAAATACCCAACCATGTCACTTCCACTTCCGCAATACATGCGGAATTATTTGGACGGTGCACTGTATTATTTAATCTATGTGACTTTTAGCTGACCTAAGCCATTAAACTTAATTTGATATATGTTATATAGATGTAGTGGTTGTCAAGATGACAAGAACCTATAGATACATTTTCGGTTTTAACATTTTCGGTTAAACTTTGAAAATTTATGCATGAGCGATGGGTGGTCAAAGGAACTTGTTACTAAAACCGTAGCAATAAACGTATTCGAAATCCAACTAATTCTATCTTAGCCTCTGCAAAAAAATATGTGCCAAAACAATAGTATGACAAGAAAGGAAACCTATTTCGGCAGTATCAAGTTAGTACACGCCGACTTATACAAATTTTTATGCGTTTATGTTTCAAAACAAAGGAGGTATTGCGACGTGTTTTTCGATTGCTCATATTGCAGCTGTAAGAGCTTTTTTCCCTTTTTTATACCCTTGCAGAGGATATTATAATTTCAGTCAGAAGTTTGCAACGCAATGAAGGAGACATCTCCGACCCTATAAAGTATATATATTCTTGATCAGCATCACTAGGCGAGTCGATCTAGCCATGTCCGTCTGTCCGTCCGTCCGTTTCAACGCAAACTAGTCACTCAGTTTTAAAACTATCTGCTTGAAACTTTCCCAAAAGTTGTCTTTCTATTACAGTTAGTATATAATTGGGAATGAGCCGGATCGGAGGACTAGAGCATATAGCTCCCATAGGAACAATCGAAAAAATAAATAAGAAAAAATGATATCTTTTCTGTTTTTTAATTTATTTTTTAGTTCTTCGACATATAGTAATGGTTAAATATTTCAGAGTTACGGTTTAAATGTCATCAAAAGCGGACGACTATATCATATAGCTCCTATAGAAATAATAAAAATATATAAAATAACTATCTAATAATTGAGCTCCAATCATCATAGCTTCAATGTTTTTAGACATATACGCAAGTAAATCATAATTTTAATGTTTTTAAAAAAATATTTAATTCTTGCAATAGCTGCAAGGATATATGAACTGCGGCTTGCCGAATTTTGCTTCCTTTCTTGTTTATAACACAAATCTGTATTTGCAAAATAATAGACCATCGTGTTGCATAATTTTAATTTTATTTTTATTTTGTACCTATGGGAGCTTTATGGTTCCGAGTTATATACTATCTTTAGATATCATTTAAACTGATAGCATAGATGGGCATGGCGTGGTCAGCTAAATATACTTGATATACTTTACTCCAACTGCGTTGAAAACTTTAGACTGAAATTATATTATTCGCTACAAGGGTATAAAAAGTTAAGTCTATAATACAAAGTATGTTTTAAGCTTAGTGAAATATCTGTTAAATTATGTTTGTGCGTCTATCAGGCAGTCTGGTTTCGCTTGAAAGTTTTACCCATCTTCTGTTTTATATTTTACCCGAACCCATCTCCATTTCAATTAAAATATTATCCAATTTTTAATTTATAATTTGAATTAATTAAAAGTACTAAAAAACAACATTTTCTCCGACCCTTAAAAAAATTCATTAAAACACTTTTTGCTTATGTGGTGAAAAAATGTGCGGCTTACAGGTAAACAACTGCTCTTCCTTTTCCCCTCCCTCAGTTTACTCTACACGTGACAATGTCGCCTGCCTATTACATTCCCCTCGTTCCCCTCAATCCAAATTAAAATATACAATTTAAAAAGGAACAAGAAAAAACGCTGTAGCCGAGATGAGACTATGAAATACCTGCTACATACTGTCCAGTTAAAATATATGATGTCCACCTTCAAGCCATAAACAAAGATTTAAATAAAGCTACAATTTTATTAATACATGAATATTTAACTGATAAGTATAAAATATTCAAAACCAGGACAATTAATGTCTAACATTTCCTAAACTTCAGAATCTGTGAATTCTGAAACTTTTAAATATATTTTTTGATTGGAGGTGTTTTGACATGGTTTGAAATTGACTTCATCTTTCTATGAAATACCACAGAGTTTGTCAGCCACCATAGATACATGGCTTAATAAACGGCTTTTTCTACATATATATATCGTCGCTTATTATAGGTATGTGTGCTGGCATAAAGTCCCGTCTTGAACTTCCTTTAAGTCTACTTCTTGAGTCGAGTTGACTAAGATTTTCAGTACCTTTGATCAACGATTTTGGAAGTGACAAATAATAATCTCTTTAATTCTACGAAAAGAGGGGTATAACGAAGCATCACAACATTTTTCGCTTATGGAGCGTCAGAACCACCTGCAAACCGGACAGTTGCCATTGGGCGGATACCAACCCCCAAAAGAAATCAAATCATGGGTACATATGAAATAAAAAATTGAAAATAAGTACATATACATATGCACGCCCACTGCAAACAAGGTTGCCAGCGGAAGGGGAATGGAACAGCAATAACAACAAGTTTGTGAAAAAACTGAAAAAATTGTGGCCAGGGCTGGACTGGAGATTGGGGAGGACTGCGGGGCGGAGAACGGGTTGCAAAAATTATATTAAAAATGCAGTGTCCGAAAAGGGCGTAACACATGCAAATACTCACACAGGCGCACGGATATATCCACACGTGCCGCAAAAAAAAAGTAATAATAAAACTGAGGTTTTTACATAGCGTTGATATATAAACCTCTCCATATATGTACACTGTGCATATGTGAGCATATACATTGGAGTATTATTTACATATTCAAATATTTTTGGGACCCAAAAAGCAGCAGATCCAGCAGCACAAACTGTCCTGTTTCGAAAAATTTGCGTTTTTTTTTTGGGCCGGAAAAAAGGAATGCAATGTAAATAGCCGAAGTAAGATCGTAAATAGCCAAAAAAAAAAAAATTTCTTCGGTTTAACACAATGGCCTGTTTTAAAATAACTGGTTGCAAAAATCTGAGCGAAATAAGGCATCGATTTCAAACGTCGGTTATGAATTTTGTATTATTTTATTTGTTTATTAATTCTATATATTATGTCACTAGTTACTAATGTGAAACAACAAATTGGCACACCATCAATTGAATAATTTTTTTGTTGCCCTAACTTGTAGCAAAAGATTTTAAAGCTAAGCTCCATCCAGTTTTTTTTTTTTACTTTTTTCTAAACTTTAATAATCTTTTAATTCATAATTTGGGAAATGTTACACTTAAGGAGTGTAAATTCAGTGACACACTTTTCTGGCAAAAATGCTTTAATATATAAACATATAATCCAACATATCAAAGAGATTTAGGCTTGGTGTTTTTAAAATATTTTTTGTTATTTTAACCTTATTTATTAATTACAATTTGATTGGCGTTCCACTGTACAATGCGGTTATTCTGGAGCGAAAAAAATAAATTAAATGAAAAATCTGTAGCCTTGATAAGCGCGAACGAGAAGATTACCTCCATCCCCACAAGTTGATTGGTTGAAAAAATTGTAGCAGATAAGGGTTAACCAGCCCCAAAAGACCTGCAAATGAAATAGATAAACCAGAAAAACATGGTAGCGTATGATTGCATAAATATAATATGATTGCAAACAAAAAACATTTTTTATCCATATGAGCATTTCGCACTCAGACGGAACCCCATTCTATTTTTAACTACCTATTCCCACCCATTAATTTTGAATACTGTATGAGCCTAGCTTCAGATAAATGGTACAGCTTTGAAAACTTTTCCTTCATTACATTCTACTGGCTTAAAGGAGATTCTATGGTAAGTTTTTGACTGACTTCGCTCTTCAATAAAAATGATATAACAAAGTAATTTTATCTAAAGACAACTATCTGATAGACTGATATAAAAACCTTGGCGGAACATTTTACCCACTTCATATTTGTTTTCGATTCCCGAGAATGTCTATCTTGTTGAGTGACTATCCTAGACCTTCACTTTAAGTGACCACCAATTGGAGCTTACCCTGCCAAATCCATCAAGGCAGTTTATTCGAGGCGAAATCGCCAGGTACTTCAGCTTCGACGGGCATGAAAATGTCTGCAACTGTCCCTCCGATGGCTCTTGCAGTGGCCACGAAAAAAGTGTGCGCTCGACGTTAAACAGCGACAACATTTCACTTTGCATGCAGAATGTCGTCACAAAGGGCCCGGTACGGACTGTCGGAGGCAGTGTCATAAAGCAACTGACAACCGCATTGGACCCTGCTCCCGGATCCTGGATTCCGGATCCCGGATCCCGGATCACCTTCCCCCAATTGAGCACCGCTAAAACGTCAGCCAGACAGCGGCGGCGATGGCGGAAATAGAGCAAAAGTTGAGAACAAAAACCATGAGCGCAGTGGAAAAAATGGCACACAGGCTACTTGAGCTCGAACCGGCGACGGTTTTCGATGTGTGCCACCCTACTCCCACACCCACCCACGCTCCTCCTCCCGCTCAATTCCCCTTTCTGGGATTTTTTCCGCGGACAAGCACGCGGCTGACGGGTTAAGGCGGGACAGTTGACCATCACGCTTGGCCAGCGGGTGGAAAGTATGGGACGTGGGACGTCCATTCATCCAGCGACTCTCGTCCCCATCCTCGTCTTGAAATCCAACTTCCAGTTCCTGTCCGGCTCGCAGCCCCCCGTGTAATGGCAATAATTTTGACGTCTGTTTAGTTGGCCCTTGGCTTGGCTTCAGCGCAAAGGATAATGGCCATCTGCAGGCAGTTGTGGCGAGGATTTGCGTCTGTTGGTGCGTTTGGTCAAGAGCAGCGGAAGCGTCTTTTAATCAGCGCTCCGTGACAATGAAAACTGATAGGTTGCGGAATGCCTATTGGGAACCGGCTTTTGCCATCTGAGCGCTTTTCGGCGCTCCAACTGTCTGCGGTCAGTTTCAGATAGAGAAAAATGGACTTATATTTTACTTAATTAAAGGAATACGAATAAGTAACCAACGTAATATCTTATGTTTTTGGAATTATTTGTGTTTCATTAAAACAAATTTACAAATAAAACCTGGTAAGTGATTTTAATACATCGTTTAATTAGCATACAGTTGTTGAAGTCTTAAATCTCTGGAAGCAAAGGGAAGGATGTTATTCACTTCTATGGGAAGTTTTTTATACTTTTCCTTCCATCATGTTAGGAACATCTCCTGGCCCATTTGCTTATGACTTTTGCCATTGTTTGCGCTACACTTCAACGCACTTTCGTCATTGATCCGGAGAGCCATGCAACCAGTCGGTCCTTCTGCCCTTACTTTCCTGCTTTAACAGTCCGCACCCCAAACTGGACCTAAACTCAACCTCTATTTTT